GCTACTGGCTGCTGGCCTTCCCATTTAGCTGAGGGAGTAGTAGTGTTTTTGGAGGAACTGCCTCGATTCTGGCCTAGGTTGGCCTGGACACTCTTGTGGGCCTTGTCCAGGGGGCTTGGTCGGGGCCGCCCTTTGATGGACAGCAGTCGCTCAACGACTTCCTCCAGGGTGCAAGCCTGGGCTGCAGGGAGGAAGTGTGCAGGGTCAAGGGAGAGGGCCAGAGATGAAAACAAGGCAAAGGGAGACCATCTCCCCACATGGCCTCCCTCACGGCCAAGGATCTCAGGGTCTTCCCACCAGCCCGTGCCTCGCTGCATGCCTGGCCCATCCCAGCTTCTCACCATCACTGGCCAGGAGCACGGCACGGTTCACCAAGTTCTCCAGGGCCTCCCAGAGCAGTTGGCCAGGGCGGCCAGCAGGCTCCAGGTGCAAGAGACCCTGCAGTACCGACAGCAGCTGGGCTGACGCCGGTGAGCAGCTCACCTGCATTAACAAAACAAATGGGTGGCTGTTCCCTCCCTCGGGCAGGCTGATACCCCCCCCAGCCCCTTTACCTCACTGAAGCCCTGCTGATGAGTGACTGAGAGGCAGAGCTCTTTGTGTTACTGGTGGTTATGGAGGATCTCCCTACATGCTATGAGACGTTAAATGGTACCCCTCGTTTCTTCCTATTACTGTCACCCACAGATGAGAGCTGTTGCATTCAATGGCTGAGACTGGGGGGCGTGTAAACTCAGCCCCCTGACCCCTTACCTGGCCCTGAAGCTCTCTGAAATCCCCAGAAATTACTACCTAGCTGAGGCGCAGGAAGGCACAGCCTGTGACCTCTGGAAGCTGGTCCTGCATCACAACTCCATTCCCAGGACAACACAGCCTCTGCCTTATGACCCCAGCTCTGTTTCTGGCCATCGTGGGGCTGGCCCAAGCAGAGGCCCTGGCCCTAGACAGCCAAGCCCCACCTTGTGGAACAGGGAGGCAAAGACTTCCTGGTGGCTGTTCATGTTGACGCCATCGCAAACACGCTGCAGCTCCTCCTCGTCCTCCGCTTTTGCCTCTTCAAAGGCTTCCAACTGGATCAGCAGATCTGCGTCCTCTAGATCTCTAGGGGATGAGGACAACCGTTGAGACGCTGTCTCACTGGACCCTTCCCCACAGATCCAGGCTGCATGCAGCTCTCTACTCCACCTGAGCACACACTGGGCAGCATCCCTAGCCAGGCCCAGTGTGCTGCAGCCAGCCAGTGGCACTGCCCGGAGAATGGCAGTCTGAGTGGTAATTAATGGGTCTGAGTCTCCCATCCTGACAGGCTGCCAGGGATGGGGTAGGGCAGATCCTCATGACAGGTACAGGGTTAAAAAAAAAGTCACCCAAAAAACAACCACCACCACCAACAACAAAAAAACCAACAACAAAAAAAGCCAGGCGGTGGTGGCTCATGCCTTTAATCCCAGCACTCAGGAGGCAGAGGCAGAGGGTCTCTGTGAGTTCGAGACCAGCCTGGTCTACAAGAGCTAGTTCCAGGACAGCCTCCAAAGCCACAGAGAAACCTGTCTCGAAAAAAAAAAAAAAGTTAAGATCACACTTGAGGCAGGCCACCATGAAACATGAGAGGGCATGGGCTTAGCCTGAGTCAGATGTCAAGAGTGTATGCTGGGGCCAGGTGCTGCCATCACCTCAACCTGGCCAATAGCTGACCCCCTCACAGCCCAGAGGTTTGCAATGGGCTAGCTCCACAGCACTGGAGTCTGTAAGGCCCCATGCTGACTTCCTGGAGGTAAAGAGCCCCCAGTGGGGTTTGTCCTGACTGTAGTCAGGACCAGGGCTCTCAACTGGATGGGCTCTCTTTGGAGACGACGCCAGGGTGGACAGCCAAACTCTGGGCTGTGTTACACCTGAGCTTCAGAGGAAGGAGAGCAACTGTCAGCGGAAGTTCGTTCTACACCACAGGTATGTCAGGCCACGCATCTGAATCCTGAGTCAACCTGACAATCTCACTCCTATGGGCAGTGTCTGAGTCCCAGGTTCCCTCCTGGAAGAAACCTCTCAGCATCCTCTGGAGACTCTGTATGGGCCAGGTGGCTGGAAACCCAAGGAAGGACTTGGGAGGGGCAGCTGGCAGAACCGGCCTCAGGGCGACTCACCGTAGCCGGGTCAGAGTAACCAGCAGCTGTAGCCCTGATGGATGGATGGATGGACAGGGTTAGAAAGTCCAGAAACCGCCTTTGGCCTCTGCCTGCCCGCAGCTCCCTGTCACATGCATCCGGACTTTCCTTTATCTCCCCTCTCCCTCCTGTAAGACCATCAGGGAATCCTAAAGCTCCAGAGGAGACAAGGTCTAGACACAGCTAGTGTTTGTCCAGTGGCCACTGACTGAAGGAGCAGAGCTGGAGTTGGGAGCAGGCCACCTATCTGCCCCACCACCCAGCTGGCTCTGAGACAGAACCCTCAGTGTTGATGGTCTCTCTGCCATTGGAGCAGGTGGTGGTGGGAGGCAGCCAGACCCTGGAACAGTGCCTTACTCTGGGATCCCAGGGGATGTGACACAGGCTGGGCTGACCCAGCAGGCACTCTGAAGGTCTTCCAGATGCCTGGCCAGCAGGTGAGGGCACTTACCGATAAATTCACTCCGCAGCTGGGCACGGGTACGGAGATCCTCAGGACCCAGAATGATGGCGTTGATCACGCTGAGTAGGGTAACCACGTAGGGCACGTTGTCACTGTCTGAGAGCTCATTCATGATGACGCTGAAGCGGTACTGCTGGCTGCACACCGTCTGCAGGTTGGGCAGGGTCAGGATATGCTCCAGCAAGAGATCCTGTGATGCTGGCCTGGGTCCCCCCACTCACCTTGTAATGGTCCAGGGCATCTAGTGTCAGGGCGTGACCCTCAGGTGAATAGATACACAGAGCAGCCAGCAGCTCAAACACTTGCTTCTTGACCATCACATTGGATGTATCCAGGGCTGTGGAGGGTCAGGAACGTCTCAGCAGGCCCACTGTCTTGCCTCCCCCATCAGTCTTTAACACACCTGTGATCTGAATCCAGGGCTAGAGCCTAGGATGCCAACTCCAGCTAAACTTCCAGGCCCAGCCTTCACCATATGGATCTTTCTCAGTACCCCAACTTTGCCTCTTGGGTCACAGACCCACCCTTTCAGGGAAGGGCTGAAGGCAAGGGAGGGTACCTGGAGTCTACAGAGCCTGGCCCAGCCCAGTCCAGCCCCTGCAGCTGGCTCCAGGCTTAGTGTTTTCCAATCTTGACAGCAATTGCATTCCTGAGAGCTTGAATGCCTCCTCACCCCGGTGAGCCCTTGCCTTCTCCATCCTGAACTAGGGAAGTTTTGTGGCTGTGCTGAGACTAGCCACAAAGGACTTGATGGAGGGGTACAATCAGGTCCAGGCTGGGGGAACAGACTACAGTTGGTGTGGGTCCTGGGCTAGACATATGCGGCAGCCTCTGGTTTCCTTACTCACACAGACACCATCTCCCAGTCACTGCTCCACAGACAGTCTTAGAGCCCCAGTGGGACCTAACTGCTTCCACTGAGGGACATAGAGAGACTACTATCTACCCTGGTTTTCTTGCCACAGCCAAGGCACTGCAATAAGCCAGAAGGTAAAGCTGGTCTTGAGGTATGCAAAAGGATACCGAAGGAGGAGGCGTGGCCAGGGGTGGCCAACTAGGTATAGAGAGTGGGGTGGGGAACCAAGTAAGGTGTTAAAATGCAGAGGGTGATATCCTTAGCAGGTGTGGGCCAGGCCTACAGGTCTGTAGCTGTGCTGTTATGGGGCTTGGAGCCAGGCAGTGTATGTGGCGGCCTGTTCTGTGTACCAGGGCCTAGAGGTCAGAGGGTAGGGCCAGCACACGGCTGGTAGTCACAGAACTGAGGAAGCAACTTGAAGAAGCTAGTGAAAGGACTCAGGCGGCCTGGATGGGGTGACGTCTCCACCTTCCTTGCCTGAGGGCTCAGCTTTCCCTGAGGAGCCCCCAGGTCCCCCTGCCCTCACACAATGACCTACAGCTCACCCTGGGAGAGCTGGCGCACGTAACCCTGGTTGCTGAGGATGTATTCGATGCCCTGCTTCGAGTTCATGACCGCACGCACACAGCTGATGCAGGTGAGCTGCAGCAGGGCATCTGCAATGCGGGCCACACCACGTCCTGACAGCCGCGCCAGAGCCTCCAACAGCAGGTCCAGGCCGCTCTGCTCCAGGAACTGCACCATCCAGCCACCATCGCTGCTCTCCAGGCGCTTCCGCAGGCCCGAGTAGTTGACCACGGAGGGCATCTGCAGCAGCCGGATGCACAACTCAGGCTCTGCGCTCTCCAGGTTGGCCTCCGTGGGGTCTGATTCCTGCGGCCCCAGCTTCTCCTTCAGCGCTGCCCACTTGCGCTGCGCACCTTCCTTCACAGACATCTTGCTGAACTGCAGGAAGAGAGAAGGTCAGAGGTCAGCTTGGCCATAGGTGACATTTGGAGGCACTGTTTGCTTCCTCAGTTTCTCTTTAGGTTTCTGGCTTGTGGGCCAATGATGGAAACTTGGGACAGGTACTTTGTTTTGTTTTTGTTGTTTTGGTTTTACAAGACAGGGTTTCTCTGTAGCTTTGTAGCCTGTCCTAGAACTTGCTCTGTAGACCAGGCTGGCCTGGAACTCACAGACATCCATCTGTTTCTGCCTCCCAAGTGCTGGGATTAAAGGCATGCACTGGCCACCGCCCGGTCTGGCAAAGGTTCTTTGTTTCTGACCCGGATAAAGGCTCCTCTTGTTCCATCTGGATTGAACAACAGCCAGCAAAATCCTACCATATGCACAAAGACCCTAAGGCTCAGTGAGAGGCAGTTCCATTAGAGACCTGTGCCTAGGTATGGAGGCATGAGCTTGTGCTGTCCTGACAAGCCCCGGTGCAACTAGGAGAGTCTGGGGTAGGAAGCAGGCAGCCATGCTGCCTGGAATGCTATGACATCGTGGAGATGATGCAACAAAAACAGCATTTCTGAGGCTACCTTATCTGGCTCCAGGCGCTTCCCCACTGCCCACAGCCTGGGGGTTGAGGAGGGTGGGGTAGGAGGAGGGGCGGGTCACTGGAGCAGGCTAAGGACACACAATGTGATATGATGCCCAGGGCTTAATGGAGTGGGTGGCGGCTTCCCCTGGTCTAGACTTGCACCCAGAGAGAAAGTGAGTCCCTCCCCTCGACGTATAGAGCTTCACCTGGTTCATTAGCAACAGGCCTAAGTCCAACTTAGGAAATGCCCCCCAAGTGGGGGGGTGCAAGTCAGGCCTAAAACATTCTCCAAATCATGCCTTTCCTCAAAGCGTAACTGCAGACGGACAAACTACACTCTTCCTGCCTCCTCCATCCGTGCAATTCTCCCTGGTCATCTCCTGGGCCCAGCTGACTGTAATGCGGCCTCATCATAGCCCCTGGAGACAGCATCAAAGGTCAGGGGCATCCCAGGCTCTCCAGTAACCATGTATGGCTGGGATCTTATATTTAGCATCTGAGAAAGGCATCATGGAGCCGTGGGAGGAAAATACTGAGGGAAAGGGCTTGGTGAGACAAGCACCCATAGTCGTATGCATCCCAAGAGTCCAGCCCTGCACTCTCCACTGGGCTCCAGACAGGCATTTTACCTGCTGAATAGGTGAAGGGTTGTAGACCGGGAGGTTGGTACTATGGCTACACCCACACTGACTGGACCCTGCAAGTGTTCCTGGAAGCTACCGATTGCTGGGAGGCCAGTCCACTTTGTATCGGGTTTTACTCAACTCTCTCAGGGAAGTGGAGACCTCAGGATGAAGAGGTACCCAGAAGACCATCGCTAGAGCAGAGCGGGAGCTCAGGCACTTTGCCAATGTGGTTCTGGGGTCCCTGGTGTCGGTGGTCCTCATCTGAGGCCCTACTGCCCTGGAAGCTACGGAGAGCATGCCTGCCCAGCAATATTGGCAGAGCCCCTGCCTGGTTCCCCGTTCTCCACCCGTTCAAATGCTGGTGGCCAGTAGGTCCCTCTCACAAACAGCCTGGTGAGTGGCAGGGGCTGGCCTGGAGACCTGCTGTGGGTTTTAATCTAGCCACTCAGCCTGTTTGAGCCTCAGTTTCCTCCCCTGCCTGTAAGAGGGATGTCCAGGGAAATCAGCCTGGGTCCTGTGCTGCACCTCACTGTGTGTGCGTGGGAACCCCGAGTCCTACCGGGAATCTCTGCTTTCACCAAGTCCTAGGCCCTTTCCGCCATCCAGCTGTCTACTCACCCAGATGCGCAAGACTTTCCGGCCGCCTCTGCCTACCCATTCGGGGCCCTGCCTCCAGCTTCTCATCCCCGATGTCAGCTGCCGGCCTGGCCTCAGTCTCTCTTGGGAAGCGTTACACCCTTGAAGTAGGTCTTGGTAGTAGGTGTGGGAGCTTCACCACAGAACGGAGCTGGCTGACGGGCCTCTGCACACTCCCCAGCTGCTGTGCTGCCCAAAGAGGTGCCTAGAACTGGCCTCCCCACCCCCATCCCTGCCTCTATTGGCCAGAGGCCCTGTCCCCTTGGCACAGGCTGCGTGGCCGGAGTATGAACTCACACAGACCTGGCCCGTGGTATCCAGTTTTCTGTCCAGGAGCCCCAGTCTTTCATGTTGAACCCACCCAACCTTTCTGGGAAAACAGGCTCACCAGAGTCACTGTTCCCCAGGCCTGAGGCCCCCAGACACAAAGGTCAGGAAACCTGCTTGCCTCACAACTGCCCCTCTGATACTGCCTGGTCCTCCGGCCCTGTGTGTACTCTGTCCAAGGACTCTGGACTTAACTCCCTGATGGGATCCTCCTTGCATCTGTGGGGTGGGCCCTGGATTCATGCTCCCTGTCCTGGGAAACTTGTGGGTTGGGGGTAGGGTTGGGGGTGGGGGTAAGTAGGCTCTGCTCCTGAAGCCCTAGTGATGACTGTCCACCTGGGAGAGCCAGTCCGGCTGGAAACCAGGATGCCAAAGTGAGGGACACCTTCCCTCCTCTGTGGTATCTCTCAAGCTTCCTGACTCTCTGTAGGATGACACTGAACAGGTGAGGGTGGCCTAGTACTGCAACAGCATCCGGATACTCTACAGTCTAGCAGCTTTGGCCAGGAAGGTCAACAGCTGGGACCTGATTAATGATTGACAGCCTTCATCACCTGGGCCCATGTTTCCATCTCTGGACCAATCAGAGAAAGGCAAATCTAAACAATAGGATGTCCCATTTCTGGCTGGCCTCCATGAAACATCCTGGGCCTTCCTCCCCCATCCCCCCACCCTCCTGTAGAGACTTTAAAGCTCTCCCTCCCTCTCCTGCCTGCTTCTGACAGAGCTGTGGTCAACCCCTTTACTACTGCAGTCTCTGAACAGTTTCTGCCTGCCATGGGAGACCCGGGGAACAGTACCCAGGAAGGTACTGGTGCCAAGCAAGGCTGGGGCAGAACCTCATTCTGTTTATTATGTGTGTCTCAGGGAAATTCACTCTCCAGCTCTCTCTCATCTGCAAAGTGGGTTGGTTGCAGTGGGACCCATACAGAACTAGAGTCAGCGATCTGAGTGGAGCTGGAATGCGTGAAGCTACTTGTGACAGGGCCTCATGCTCTCTTGGCTGGCCCCAAACTTGTTATACAGCTGAGACTACCCCTCAAACTCCTGACCTCTTACCCGTGCCTCTGAAGTGCTGGGATTCTAGGTGTGCCAGAAGCTGTTTCAATGGCATCTATGGATGCCACTTCCAGCTCTGGGACCAAGTGTCCAACTCTGATCCAGACCTGCTAGAGACTCAGAGGGGCTGGATACCCTGGCTTTGCCCAAGCTATGGGGGACGGCCCAGCACAGGGATACTCTCAGATACTTCCCCAGTCAGCTTCTGAGGGTGGAAGGGCCAGCTTTGCAGTCCAGGATTTGGCGGATGGGGACCAGGACATGGAGACTGTCCCATCTGCATACTCAGTTCAATCGGCATTACTGGGACTGCAGTGGGCAGGGCCTTTGCACATAAAATCCCTAGATCCAGGGGCTCAGGGCAGCTCGTCCTTTACTCATGCTTTCATTATTATTGTTTTTTCTTTTAAAAACAGGGCATCGCTGTGTAGTCCTGGCTGGCCTGTGATTGGCTATCCAGTCCAGGCTAACACTGAATTTACAGAGTACTGGGATTAAAAGCTCACACTAACATGCTCAGCTTACACTTGGTTCTTCTTTTTAAAAAGAACTTGTCTTTATTTTATATGTGCTGGTGTTTTGCCTTCATGTGTGTCTGTGTGAGATGCTGGATCCCCTGGAGCTGGACTTACAGTTGTGGGCTGCCATGTGGGTGCTGGGAATGGAACCCGGGCCCTCAGAAGAGCAGCCAGTGCTCTTAAATTCTGAGCCATCTCTCTCGCCTGCACACATGGTTTAGGGTTACTTTTTCTACAGGCAGAGGCCAGGCCTTCCACTTACAGACTACTCATGAAGGCAGGGTCTCCCTCAGGGTCTATGGTGACCAGCTCAGATCTGAGCACTGACAGGACTCCCAGAAAGGAGAGGCTGATCAGGGCCTATAGGCCTCAGGGTCACCGCCCGGGAGGGAGGCTCAGTAAGAGTTGGCTGCCTCCTCCACAAGCTTAGGCTGCCCTGGCTTGGAGCTGCCCGAACCTCCATCCCACATGCCTGGGCAGCGACTCTGATTCATGGAACTCCAGAGGCTTCCGCCCCTGCCTGGTAATCTGACGTGAGCTGAGTGGGTGTGGAGGACCAACTCCACTTACCCAGCATGCCACACAAACAGAGAAACCAAGGCAGAGACAGTTGCAGGAAACCCTGCATGGGTCCCCTGGTACCCAAAAGTGTGGTGGCGGTATCCCAACACATTAGGGAATCTGAGTGAGCCCCATGACCCCATATCTCAGCTTCCTCATTGCTACAGCCAGGAAACATGGACTATAGTTCCAGGAGCCAGAAGGACCTGCAGCCAGTTACCTTGGGCCTTCAGAGAGTTCAGGTATCCCTTGAGGAGCAGCAGGCCAGGCTTTGCACCTAAGCCCCGGGGAGGTAGGTGCTGCCAACTGTACCCAACCCTTGCAGGGACTGTCAGCGCTAGGGAGCTGCTGGGCCAATGCAGAGGTAAGTGGCTAGGTCAGGCACAGGCCAGGTAGGGGACCCCTAGAGGTGCTGCTGCCTAGGGTGGAGAGGCAGCTCTGAGGGGGCACCCTGCCAGCACCAGAATAAGGCCTGGGGTGTTTCTGGGCCCAGAGCCAGCAGGGGGTTGGGGGAAACACAAAGGACTGAGCTTGTCTTCCACGGGTGGGAGGGAGAAAGGCAGAAGCGGGATTCCGGAACTGGGTGGCAGGGGCTGCCACACTGTATTTTTAGCTCTTCCCAGATTTCCCACTGCTTGACAACCCTAGGTTTTTTTTTTACAGAAGTGCACATATTCCTGGTAGCTTTCTGGGGCTCAAGGACAGCCCCTGT